CCTTAGCTGTACGTGGCTGGCGCCTTAGCCGGTTGAGCTATAGGCGCCGAGCCTGAGAATTCTCTTCTGAATCTGGCCTCACTTACCTTTCTAGCTTCCCCTCCTGCTGCTCCCCACACACAACCTGATGCCCCAGTCACAGCAATGGAATTTTTTTCCTGAATACATCATACTTTGTTCTACTTCTCCCTCTATTTCAAAGGACCATCCTTTTTCTCTCCCTACCAATATTTAGGACAGGCTCTTGTCCACCTCATGTTTCAAGTCTAATTTTCTGAGACAAAGCTAGATTTTTTCCCTCCTTCATGATCCCATGTATGTGCCCTGTCAGTAGCCCTTAATACACCTATTCTTTTTTTTTTTGCAGTTTTTGTCCTGGGCTGGGTTTGAACCCGCCACCTCCAGTATATGGGGCTGGCCCCCTACTCCTTGAGCCACAGGCACCGCCCTAATATACTTATTCTTAACAGCAAAGCAAGATAAAACAAAGTAATAGTCCAACATTTTAATTACCTGTACAAACAAGAACTAAAATATGGTGAGTATTCAATAAATGACAAAGAAATTTAGAAAGTGCTGGTAAGTTACATGAAAGACAGCCGTATTATTTTGGTTTCAAGTCCAGTACTCTTTCCAGTAACGGGAGGAATGGAGAGAAACTGTGTAAGCAGAACGCATGTGGAAGGGTGAAAAACTGAGGTCTCCAAGAGTCTCTAATTCTCATTTTAGGTTGAGCTGAAGTTATGTTAAACTACATTTACAAAAGATATGCAGCATAGATCCTGCTTTTTACCCCCATCAATAAAATAGGACTAATAACAGCATCCACCTCACAAGATACAGTGAGGATCAGGGCAATTTAGTCAATAAATGCAAAGTGCTTATTAAAACAGCGCCTGGAAATATATGCTGGCTACCATCATCATCACCACACAAGCCCTGAGCGCTCCAAGTCCGTTTGTACACTTGGACATATATAGTGCACTGGGATTCCTAAAAACACTCATTTTCTTTGGAAACCTGACAGACTAGCCAGAGGGACCCCACAGGGAGGGCCAGGCAGCCCCTGCTGGCGACGTGGCAATTCTACGTCCTGAAAGTGAACTGCTGGATCCGGTAGCAGGAAAAACACCACTGGGAAACAAACGAGAGTAAGATATTGTAGACCACTCTTAGCCTCTCATTCGGACACTTACAATGAAATCAGGATGTGAGACTTAAGCTACTGCTTTAATTCCTTCAACTAAGATCTCTCAGATCTCTTGGACAATAAAAGGGCAATGCGTTCTGCTTGGCCTGTGCCCTAATTCCAGGCTAGATCTTTGGGGTTAGCATCTGCCCATGCAAGCCAGGCGAGGCAGGATTCCTAGCAGGGTCCCTGACTCCCGAGGTCCGAGGGGCGCTCCCCAGCCAGGAGGCCACTTTCCCTATCTGCGGACACTTCCCTGGCTCCCTCTCTCTCTCTGCGGACACCTCGTTAGGTCCCTTGCCAGCATTCCTCTCCCCACAAGGGCCCCGGCCGCCCGGCTCCCGGTAGGTCTGCACCTTGAAGTAGGCGACCTGCAGGTAGTTGTAGGGGCTCCGCTTGTGGAACTCCAATTCCACCTCCTCGCCGAGAGAGTGGGCGGCCGGCGGCCCCAGGCAGCGGCGCAGGCAGGCGGCGCGGCGCAGCAGCCTCCCGAAGAAGCGCAGGTCGTACAGGGCGGCAGCGCCGGAGGCCTGGGCCAGACTCGGGGGTGAGTCAGGGTCCAGCTCCCACGGGAGGTCGGCTGCGCACCTGGTGCGGCAGCGCAGACGGAGGGCGCGGAGGGCGGCCCGGGAGCGCAGCGCTCGCTCCATGCTGAGGACCACCCCGGCCCAGTCCCCACGCGCATAGGCCGCAGTCCCCTCGGCGAAGAGCAGATCAGGTGTCACCATGTCCCATCCCGCCTCAGACTCGGCCTCTGCCCGGGAGACAGCAGCGGCGACAGCCAGCAGCGTGGTCAGGACCCTCAATGCTCGTACCGCCATGGTCTCCACAATCCTAACAGGACCGCGGGCCGCCCTCCACAGAATCCGGGGCCCTACCCCCAGAGAAGCCCCGCCCCTGAGCAGGGCTCCGCCTCCGAACCGGGCTGCGCATGCCCAGGAAGCTTGCACCCTCCCCGCCCCCCTGCTTTCTTTTAACCAACACGGACCCCCGCCCCTCAGCGGAACCCTGTGAGCCAGCTGGAGTCCGGCCTCCGAGCCAAGGTCTGGCTCGGTTGCTCTGACGCCCGTAGGGCATAGCTCCGCCCACAGGCCTTTATGCGCAGGCTCTTCCGACTGGCACCGCCTAGGTAGTGAGCTGGAGTGGGCGCCGTCATGGCGGGCGCTGCGGTTCCGGGGCAGACAGAGGGGCTCCCCGAAAGGCAAGAAGTGCAGTCAGCTGCAGGACCGGGAGGTATGCGGGCTCGGATTCAGCAGGGGGAAAGAAGCTCTCGCGAGGCAGCTAGTCTCCGGGGCTCTGCGGGAGGCTGAGGGCGGGAGCTCACGCCTGTGTTCCGGGGTATGTGTCGCAGGAGCCCTGGTGGAGCGCTCCCCGACCCCCGGCGGTTTGGCCTTGGTGAGCCCCTACCGCACCCACCGGGCCGGGGACCCTTTAGACCTCGTGGTGCTCGCAGAGCAGGTGCAGAAGGTGAGGAGGCGCGGCTGGGGAAGTGAATAACTACATCTTCGTTCACGTTTTGTCCCGAGTCTTTCGGCTCCGGCCTCACAACCTAAATGTAGGAGGGGAGCAATTTGTTACTGTCTAGCGAGTCGGTGGCTGACTCGTATTCTGATCTTCTGAGGCTAAAGTCTCCTTCAACTGCCACTTGAGTGCACATAAAATACCTTCGTTGTAGGGTTTGCGCAGCACTTTGAATATTCATTATTTCATTTGCACTTTAGAACTGCACGTGAGTGAGGCGGTACAGAAGTTACTCTTCCCATTTGATACGTGAAGAAAAGTTTCTGAGGAAGTTACTTTAACCCAAATTCTTCAGGGATGCGTAGACCACTTATTTTAAGCTGCTTCCCATAGGATCCTTATTTGTTTACTGGGAGCTTGAGAACTTAACATCTTCTAGGAGGGGAAAAGACTCTTAAGTTTTTTCCTGTGCCTTCATCCATTAGACGCAGTATTCTCAAGCCTGGTGCTTAGACATTGATTCCCAAAATAAATAAAATAAGGAGGAAATGGGAAATAACGGAAAAAACAATAGAAATTTGGACACATGAATATTAATTCCACTTTTGATATGAACTTCCAGTGTGACTTCAGACAGATTTCTTCTCTCTGGACCACAGCTTTTTTAATCTGAAATAAGGGGCTTGAAGTAGGAGAGCTCCAAGATGGAGAGCTCCAAGATGTAAAGCTCTGACGTTCAGTGAAAAACTAGATTCCTTACCAAGGGTTCCAGTTGTAGAATCTTCTTCAGTATGCACAGGTGTAGGGCCCTGCTGCTTTAAAGCTTGGGATATCCCTTATCCTTGTATACACTGTTAGATTTGGCATTATGTTCAGAGGTTTTTATTTTGTTCAAAAATATGTAATAATGTGCTCCAATTCCCTCACATATATGTACCTGTCTTTTTTTAGTTAAGAAAAATTCAAATATTTGGAAACTCTCCTTTAAGTCAAATCCTTTTTTTTTTTTTTTTTTTTTTTTTTGAGACAGAGTTGCACTTTGTTGCCCTCGGTAGAGTACCATGGCATCACAGCTCACAGCAGCCTCCAACTCTTGGGCTTAAGTGATTCTCTTGCCTCAGCCTCCCAAGTAGCTGGGACTACAGGCGCCCACTACAATGCCTGGCTATTTTTTGCTTGCAGTTTGGCTGGGGCTGGTTTTGAACCCCTGACCCTTGGTATATGGGGCTGGCGCCATACTCACTGAGCCACAGGTGCAGCCCTAAGTCTAATCTTATACCTTCTTTTTAGATAGCTGGGAGGAAAATACAGCTGTTTTAGATTAGGAGACTCTAGTGTGTCTATTTAATCTCTTATTGAGAGGGAGGCTACCAGTATCAAAATCTTGAGCAAATTACATATTCTTGTGTTATTGAGTGATCTTGGTATGTATTAGAATGGCCTGAACAAAGAAAGAAGGAACATAGTTTTTGTCTTCTGTCCTATAATCAGGTAAAATATGGAGGATACATTATTGTGTTTCCTCCATTTCTCCAGGAAGCTAAAGAAAAAGCACTCTAGAGACAAACAGATTAAATTAATGTGCCTTCTCTGTACTGAAATGTACTTTTTGGCGGGGCAGACCTCTGACATTCCACTTAGGTATTATTAATAGTGTGTGTTCAAATAGCTCATTAGGCTAGGTATTAAGGCATGAGTTTTGGAATCAGATTGATAGATCCTTCATCTGCCAGATTTGCTTTATATGTCTATTAGACTGTATTAAGTTGTAATCTTCACAAGGGTAGAGACTTCTCTTTCCTGTTTGACAATGCATCCAGTGTGTAGAATGGTGTCTGATACACAGTAGTTGGTAATATATATTTGTGGAAGAGATAAATAATTAACTCAGATTACTTGTATGGTTTCTGTTCACTTACGACACTGACTTATTTACCTGACTTTTGCCTTAAGATTGTCAGCTAAGCAACAAATTCCCTTAATATTTCTTAGTTCAAGTGTGAGTTTAAGCTCCTAATTTCTTTTTCTTAATTGTGTGCTCCTGGAAGTTAGTCAGCTTTTCTTAAAAATAAACTGTAAGTTCTTAACAGATTTCTAATGCCCAACTCGTCATCCTTTCCAGCACATGAAGTGGTCACAACTAGTCTTTTTTGGCTTTGAGAATTATTTGATCTGTTTTAAGCAGTTTCCTTCACCTTTAGTCGCACTTCCTGGCACATGACAGGCAGTCTTCTGTGTACATTATAACTTTGTTCTCGATCTACTTCATAGTAGAGTCCTTTTTTTTTTGAGACAGAGTCTCACTTTGTCATCCTTGGTAGAGTGCTGTGGCGTCATAGCTCACAGCAACCTCCAACTCTTGGGCTTAAGCGATTCTCTTGCCTCAGCCTCCCAAGTAGCTGGGACTACCGGCACCTGCCACAACACCCGGCTATTTTTAGAGACGGGGGTCTTGTGCTCTTGCTCAGGCTGGTCTTGAATCTGTGAGCCCAGGGCACTCCATCTGTCTCAGCCTCCCAGAGTGCTAGGATTATTGGTGTGAGCCACCATGCCCAGCCCAAAGTGCAGTCTTTTAAAATGCATTTTAAGTAACAATTGGGAATGCAGATATAAATTAAAATTTAAGTAGTTGTGATGGCCAGATGTGGTGGTTTGCACCTATAATCCTAGCACTCTGGGAGGCTGAGGTGGGCGGGTTGTTTGAGCTCATGAGTTTGAGACCAGCCTGAGTTCTTGCGAGATCCCGTCTCCACTAAAAATGAAAAACGGAGGCAGGAGGATCACTTGGGTCCAAGAGTTGGAGGTTGCTGTGAGCTATGATGATGCCATGGCACTCTACCTAGGACTACAGCCTAAGACTCTGTCTCAAAAAAATTTAAAAAAGTAGTTATGATGTAAATAATTGAATTGATGTAATGATAAGATCAACAGATACTTTTTTATATAGCAAGGTTTCTACATAAGCCAGTGATCAGAGCCACATCACAGGTGTCTTTTGATTTTTGTTGTAAGACCCATCCTTGATTTCAGAAATGTTTAAGCATGAGAAAATATACTTGATCTTAGCCAAAAGGCTGAGAAGCCATAGCATGAGAAAACAAATGGGAGACCTGGGGAGTGCATGGGTTTTAGTCAGGTAAAGAGCAAGGGGAGGCTAGATGTGGTGGTTCATGCCTGTAATCCTAGCACTCTGTGAAGCCCAGGCAGAAGGATTGCTTAAAGTCAGGAGTTCAAGACCTGCCCAAACAAAAGCAAGACCCCATCTCTACAAAAAAATGAAAAATTAGCTGGGCATGGTGGCAGGTGCCTATAGTCCATGTACTTGGGAGGCTGAGGCAAGAGGATTGCTTGAGCCCAGGAAGTTGAGATTGCAGTGAGCTTTGATGATGCCACAGAACTCTAACTGACATGACAGAATGAGACCCTATTTAAAAAAAAAAAAAGGAGCAAGGGGAAAAATATATTTAATGGAAGAGAGGATATATTCAATATATTGGGTAGCAAGAGAGAGCAGAGCATGTTGGAGAACCAAGGAAGTTCTGTATGAAAAGGTAGAAAGCTTTGGGAGGTACACAAGAGGGAGCAATTAATTCTGGCTTGTGGGTTTATGTCAGCATGGACTTCTCATAAGTAGTGCTTTTGAGCTGGGCCTCAAATGGGAAAGAATACTTCAGGGCAAAAGCAAAGATGGGAAGAATACTTCAGGCAGAAGCAAAGATGTTGACATAACTTTCCACATTGGGATCCAAATAAAAACTTTACAGTTTTTACTGTGCTTACTATGTCAACCTCGGTAGAGTGCTGTAGCGTCACAGCTCACAGCAACCTCAAACTCTTGGGCTTAACTGATTGTCCTGCCCCAGTATCCCAAGTAGCTGGGACTATAGGTGCCTACCACAATACTCAGCTGTTTTTTGTTGTTGTTGTTGCAGTTGTCCTTGTTTAGCAGGCCCAGGCTGGGTTCCAACCTACTGGCCTTGGTGTATGTGGCTGGCACTGTAACTACTGTGCTGTGGGCACTGAGCCAACATTATAGATATCTTACCATCTTTTAACCCAAAGTTCGGTTTTCTCTCACCTGTAGGCTGATGAATTTATCCGAGCAAATGCTACTAACAAGCTGACAGTCATAGCAGAGCAAATCCAACATTTGCAAGAACAAGCTAGGAAGGTAAGGATGGCTTTTAGGTAGGGTTTCATGTTTTTCATCTAGTTCACAAGATTGATTGAAGATATGGATTGGCTTATAATCATCATGACTTAGTTGTCTTCAGTACCTCCTAGAAATGTAGAGGTGTTGAGTAAAATAATGAGCCTAAGAGGTTAAGTATAACCTTGTTTTTATTTTTTATCAGAAAGTTCAGTGAGGGCTTGGCGCCTGTGGCTCAAGTGGCTAAGGCACCAGCCATATACACCTAAGGTGGTGGGTTTGAATCCAGCCCGGGCCCGCCAAACAACAATGA